TTGGGTTTTTTTAAACAAATATTTTATCAAAAAAATTAGAAATCATCTAAAAAAAATCAATTTTAGTTTAAGTCTAAAATTGATCCATTAACTAGATCATTTTGTTCCTGGCGTAGCTTAAGACTAATTCAAACAACTTGAAAACCAAATATATATACATAAATTGCACACAATTTTATATGTAATGTATATATTTTATATAATTTATTGTAATCATTTATTATTGTGAACTTTTCTACACTTAATTATGTGATCTAATTTTTATTTATTTATTTATTTATTTTTTTTATAATGAGTAATTTATAAACAAAAAAATTTAAGGTGGAACTTCCATTCCACCCCAAACCAATTACTCGTGTTGAGTTTCTTCACGGTTTGTTTGGGATGCGAGTTGGCTTTTTAACTTTTTTATCTTTTGGCTATTTTAGCTTGAGATTAAAAAGTCTCATTTGAGATGGACTTTTTGACTTTTTTAACTTTTGTGAGAGAAAAAATGAAATGATTATGAGCTAGATGTGATATTTTGTTCTATTTGGTTAAAATGTTCTATTCGGTTAAAATAGTCCATTTTGTCCTATATTATTTTAGCCCAAACACTCATTCCAAACAGGTAGGTTAGTTTTGTACACAATTTGCACTAAAAATTTCATTCATAACATAACTAAGATCAGCTTGATTTATAATATATATATGTATATACACATCATAAAAAAGCTCATAACTAAAATTGCTTCAACTCATAATTAAACGCCACAAATTTTATTACCAGACAAATATTAAGAAGATGGAAACAGAGAACATGTACATGTCCTTGTAACTTTTCCTTCTTTGAACTCTATATTATTGAGCTTCTCTTGGCACCATTTGAGTTGAGCAGTGGAAATCATAGACATTTTGAGCACCCTTGCTATCAACTTTATGTCTATCATAGTAAATAAAATTTCCTTCTTTTGAGATTCTTCCATAGGTTTTACTATTCTTTTCAACCTACACCTCTTCTTCCCTTGCAAGTCCTTTAGCCATAGCTCCTTCTACAGAACAGTAAGGTCACTTCAATTAGTATGTTGATCATATCCTCAATAACAAGGAAACCAAATTTTAAAAGCAAATGATGAAAAAAACAAACAAGCACTAATTACTCTAATATGGTCTTCAATGCATTTGTTTGATAGCATTTTGGTCCCTCATATTTCAATTGGCAGTACCTTTTGGAGTGTCTTTGTGAGATCTGATAGGAGTTCCAAGTCTCTAGGGTCTTCCAATGGTGGACAAGTCCATAAGAAACCCCTCATGATTTTCCACCAAGGTTTCTTCCTGTCTGTCTTTACAAATATCCAGAAAGTCTTTATGCATTTCTCTATGCCCTTCAACACTTCTGTTGCCCTCATGGAGACCTCTCCCTTAGTTTCATCTTCTCCTTCCTCCATATAACCTTGCAAAGGGACAAGAGACATTGTACAAAATTTATTAAGTGGCATGTGTGAATAGATGGTGTGCGTGGACAATGCCACACATGACACTGAATAATCGCTCGCTTTAGTATATACTTTAATAAACTTGATTCCATTATATTACAAAGTTTAGGTATTTTTGGGAAAAATACCTGAAACCTGAGGAACTTGAAGTAAACCCCTCAGAGATGATCTTCTTTGAACATAATTCCAATACCTCTTCTTGCCCTCGCACGTCTCATCTTCCATAAATCTCTCTAAAAGTATTTGAAACTTCTGGAATCTCCCTGCAACGTTATCGCAAAAGGCAGCATTTTGAGAAGCAGAGCATGCAATTACAGCCCTAACCTTTTGGTATTGGTAATGGAGTGCTTCCCAGGACAAGCATGAGTGAGCCACATAAACTAATTCTAAGTCATTTTCCAAACTTCTTAAGAGCTTGCTTCTAGACATCTTGCTCCATGAGATTTGTGGGATGGAGGTCAATTCCACTGTCTGCTTTATGCTCTCAAATGAACATGTAGGAGACAATTGCTTGTTTAGAATTGCACCTACACAATAACTAATCAAAATGCTACTAAAGAAAATCAAAAAATGGTGACAAGTAGTGAATTCTACCACAAAAGCCTAATGTGCTTGTGCAATATGTGTATAATTTTATTAGCCCACGTTTAGGCAATAATGCCCATGATTATGAATACTTACTTATACCACATGTTCTCTCATGATTGAGTAAATCAAACCATCTCAGCTTGTCAGTATACTTTTGGTATAATGAATCTAAATATGTCTCCCTACTCTGATCATCAATCGATTCTCATCCCATGAAGGCTGAATCAGAGATGCACACCGATAGCAAAGACACATCTATTTCCACATCTTCATTATGTGAATCAGAACCACAATTGGATGATGAATCCTTAGTCATATCCACATCTTGAGTGTCTAAATTGAAACTGCAATCAGAACGCACATACTCCTCCAATCTTATATCTTCATCAACATGCACATTTGGGATTGGATTTTAAGAGGAGTCATGCCAAGGGAAAAATGCTATTCAACATACTACAACTCTTAATGTTGGTAGAGGAAGAAAGAAAAACAAAAGACAAGGTTTACCAGTTGGATTGAAATGAAGCAAATCCATATGTCAATTAGGTTGAAACATGAAGCAAATCCAATCAAATACAAAGTCAGTGCCTAAAAGAAAAAAAATAAAAGAACACACTAGGGAAAACAAAGCAAAATAAGGCAAACCAAAGACTCCCTAAACAAAAAGATGGTAGAAAAAGACTACTCTTGAAAGTCAAGACCATGATTGGAGTGGGTTCCATCCTTTGAAAATATGCACACTTCTTGAGAAATTGCTGATTTCGAATCTAAAGGTTGAGATTCTTCATCAAAATGAAAACTTTTGTTGTTCAATAGTAGCTTTGAAGTGGAACATGAACCATGAGGTATATTCCCTCCAAAACATAGACTAATCCACAAAGACATTAAAGTTTGTACCACTCCTTTTTGCCCTTGCCCTTGCCCTTGGAGATGGTTTTAGGGCTTGTTTATTTGGGAAAGGCATTGGGTCTAAATTACTCCCTCATGTCTCTTCTCCTAGTTCATTATTTGGTTGAGAAAGTGTTAATCTTGGGGCTACCTTATTTGATTTTGATAAATAAACCCAAATTATTTCATTTTTAATTTATCTTTTCTTTTTGTTTTTTTTAAAAACTATTGAGGAACTTCTATAAGACAGAGCAACATTGACTCACCTTACAAAATAAACTCCAGTTACACATAATAATCCACCAATCATGTGTATCTAAGTACAAGCACATCACCAGAAATAATAATAATAATAATAATAAAAAAAAAGATTGCACAAAGCATTCAAGTTTACAATTAATTTCGAAAATCCTTGACAACTAAGCTATCCATGTGAGTTAGAGATAAGAGTTTAGAAACATACTGATAGTCCAACTCCACTAGAGTTCAAAGTTTTTGAAAAGGGTGAAAGCTCTTGAACTTTAAAAATCAAATCTAGGTCTTTATAGCAATAATGAAGATGATGAACAAGATCATGGAAGGGGATATTTTTCTGCTATTTCTGCTCTTTGAATTGTGAAAGATTCAAATATCTAGGAATGATTTTTAACAAACTGTTGAATTAACATTGGATCCATCTCCTCAGCTCAATTTATTTATTTATTTTTTCTTTTTCCTTTTTGTTATGGCTTGTGATATTTGGCACTAGAGGGCTGTGAATCTTGTGCTATTATCTCTACTTTGAATGGTTTTCTATGTAGTCTGGAACAACTTGCTGTAAGAAGCTTGATTTGTATAGTCGTTTCTGACTGAAGCAAACTTGAGGAACCTATTGTTTTCCATTGTTCAATCAGAAACTTTCTCAGTTCTCCAACCCTTGGTGTGGTGCTAATACATGATTAAGCTTCCTTTTCCGTGCTAACTTAGTTGGGGTCGGAAGTTTTGCTATGATACTGAAAAATCTAGAAATCCCCTAGATATTGATTTGTGATTATGTAACAAATTTAAGCAGTATATAACAATCCCAATCAAACAACCAAGACAAATCAACACAACGATTTTAACGTGGAAAAAACCACAATTGGACACCTCTAACTGTGATTAAAAAACCACGGGCAACAGCCACAAAACAATCGACTAAGAAGATTTAAAGGAATTACACAGGTATACTCTCAATTACCTAGCGAATCCACGCCTAATTGAACCAACCTCTATGTGCCTCTTCCAACCCGTCTTCACCTCGGAATTGTCTTTACGATGAGTCACTCCGGAATCCACCAAAGCTTCAGGCTTGAATTCTTCAGAATCCACCGAAGAACAACTCTCTCTTTTGTAGAACAAACAAAACCTTTGATGTATACTCTTTAAAACATGAGTTGAATACTCAATCAAAACATCAAAGAAAACTCTCAAAGTATCCCCAGATATAAACCCTAGAACCCAAAAAGAAGATCTGGAGTAGTAATCTTAAAATCTGACCCAACACGCGAATTTATAGAATCTGTCCCGCGATCCCGCTCGAGTGCACAACAGCCCGTTCGAGCGGCTTCAGCAAAATATGCACGTGATATAACAGAGGTTCGTTCGAGCGCTAGAGAACCCGCTCGAGCGCGAAATCACACAGTTCAGTATTTTTACAAGCGACCAAAACTTCTGGAACTAGGGATTCTCCGCTCGAGTGGACAGGCAACTTGGAATGCATTTTTGCATTTTACTTCTGGGGTGCTGCCCCTCGACCCCGTCGTGGCGCTGCCCCGGACCCGCCAAGGGGCGCTGTCCCCTGGACCCCCGCGAGCTGACCGGGCAGCTCAATCCCCGTCATAATCAGCGAAGTGGCAATCTTGAAAGTATTAGCATCACAAACTTCTCTAAAAGGCACAATTCGGGTTGGATTCGCATCTAAACACTCACAGTCTCACTGAAATAAAAGTGCGAAAATAAATACAACTGAAAGGAGTTTTGTCAAACGAGGTTGCCAAGAATAAAACCTAACAGATACTTTATGTACCCACCTTTTATTTTTTATGTTGTCTCAATGCTTTATGTACATTGAATTTCATCAATAAAATTTTTTGTTTTGTTGATCATTCCAAAAAATTTATTTGGAAATTGGGCTGGCTAAATACAAGAGAATTTCACTAATTCTCTTTTATTTGATCGGCAAAAGAAAACAGCTATATTGATAAATATATGAATATATAATCAATATAGACAAAGACGGATGGGTGTGGTGATACACATTCTGTTCTGCTCTAATTCTTTTGCATCAAACCCAAATCTACAACATGTATAAACCGTTTTGCTCTAGTGCAATATTTCCTAAGTGTTATACACATTCTGCTCTCTCTCTCTCTCTCATGAGTGATCCTGTTCAAGTAGCATAGGTCCAAAAGCATATTCAATTCAAGTACCTAATTTTTCTCTAATGCATGAAACTAGGATCAGTAATTATCAATTAAATTTCAACAGTTCAAAGCATGGTTTTTCAATAGATAATTTTTTGGATGATTATTTTTAACACAATTTATTTTTAATAGTTCAAAGCATGGTTTTTCAACAGTTCAAAGCATGGCTTTTCAATTAAATTTCAACAGTTCAAAGCATGGTCTTTGGTTTGCCTTATTTTGCTTTGTTTGCCCTAGTGTGTTCTTTTATTTTTTTCTTTTAGGCACTGACTTTGTATTTGATTGGATTTGCTTCATGTTTCAACCTAATTGAGATTTGCTTCATAACTAAGTCTCAATTACTTATGTGCATATACATATATGTTGGATTGAAATGTGTGTGTGTGTGGGTGTGTGTGTGTGTGTGAGAGAGAGAGAGAGAGAGCGAGAGAGAGAAAGAGAGGTTTACCTCAGTCGGCGTTGCCGGGTTTTCGTTTTGGAGAAAAAACCTAATAACTCAATCGGAGGGACGGGTTGAATCGGCAAAGGTATCTGAGACGTCGCACCATCGCTGCCGCTGCTAGCTGTCGTCACTCGCTGCTCACCGTCATCGCTCGCTGCTCGCCATCGTCCCCCCTTGCTACTGCTGCCGCTGCTTGCAGATGTGAGAGTGAGAGTGAGAGTGAGAGTGAGAGAGAGAGAGAGAGAGAGAGAGATGGTACAGTATTTTGGAGATTTTTGAAATTGGGGATTTTTTTGTTTAAGGGATTAGGGATTGGAGATTTGAGTTGGTGAGAAACAAAAGGGGGGAAAGGAAGGGGGGAATTTGGATATAAAGGGGGGAAATGAAAAGAAGAAAAGTAGAGGAGAGGAGAGGAGAGGCGGTGTGAATGACGTGGTTTTATTTATTTATTTTTGTTATTTTTTTTGTAGTTAATATTTTTATTTTTTATTTTTGATTTTTTTTTAGTTACTAAGGTTGAAAATTTATTTGTTTCATTTTTATTTTAATGAAAAAAATTATTATTATTTTTATTTGGTAGAAGTTGGGGTAATATTTTAATGAAACATATTTTCCATTAAAATAAAGTTAATTTTTTGTGGTCAATTAAAAACATTTTTCTGCGGCCCATTTTTTTTTGTTACCAAGAATCAGGAACTAATTTGCTATGGTAGAAGAGAGGGAACGACAGTAGTAATGAATGTGGTAGATAAGAGGGGATGGTGGTGGTGGTGGTGGTGGTGATGGTAAAGGAAATTAGTGGTGAAGTTGTGGTAGTGGTAGAGGAGATGGAGTGGTGGTGGTGGAGGAGAGGTAATGGTAGTAGTAGTGGCAGTAGTAGTGGTGGCAATGGTGGTAATAATGGTAGTTGTAGAGGTGGAGTGGCAACAGTGGTAGTAATGGTGGTAGTGGAATGACATTTGCAGTAGTAGTGAAGGTGGTAGAGGAGATGGTTGGTGAGAGAGAGAGATGAGTGAAAGACAGACAAAAAATAAAGATAGAAAGACGGAGACAGAGTGATGAGCGAGAGAGACAAAGTGGTCGCTAAAAGTGCATTTTCTTGTAGTGAATTGATAAATCGAGAGGGAGCTCAGTAAATAGAGAAGAGGGGAGAGAGAAAGTGAGTAAGGCGAACACAGTAGGGGAGAGAGACAGACAGACAGACAAACAGACAAGTAGACAGAGAGAGAAAGAGAGATAGAAGAGTGATGAATC